CCCCCCACCCCCAATAGCTAGCAATTCAAAACAGTCCAGTAGAGCCTGAGCGGTGGGTGTTGCCTTCCGACCCACTTCCGGTGATGTCAGGGTGTGTGGCCTATGCAAATGAGTTATGCAAATGAGTTATGCTAATGAGCTCCTGCACCTCTTTGTCTACGAAATGACCCCTGGTCTTGCTTGTTAATTATAAAAGGTTGCTGGACCCCTGGACTGGATAGATGTGTGGGGAGGGGCCATATAATTACGACCCCTTCATCATATCCTCTAGCGAAATGAAACCCTGGCGGCTAGGAATGTGCGCGCGCACAGTAGCCTTACCTTCCACAGCTGCGTAGCAGGCCCCTGAAAGCAGGAGAACCATTGTGGAGATTCCTTGTACTCTTGTGAGAGCCATGGTATGCACGCCTGTTAGGGAGAAAGAAGCAGGAGAAGGTGTTAAATGACACACACCTTGAACTAGTGTGTCCACTAGACATCACCCTTGCCTATGCCAGGGGTCACCAACAGCCGCCGCGAAGTGTTTTTAGAAAGTGGGCGGGGCCAGGTGGTGCTCCTCCTCATGAGGGCTTCTGATGGAGCACTGGAGATCTGATTGGCTGTGCAAATTGGAATAATGTGGTTCTGGTGGCAGCTGCCATCACAGTGTTGGTTCTGTTCTCTCTCTCACTCCTCTTTCCAAGTGTATTTGTAAAAATGACCCCTTCTGTCCCCTGCCCTTGGGCTTCCTCTCTGGGCATCTCTGGCTTCCCCTCCCATGGTGGCCATTTTGTGGTTGCAGGGCCCCCCCAAAAAACCCCCAGAGGTGCCCATGGGCTCAGAAAAGTTGGGGATTCCCTGGCCTTTAATGGGGAGGAGAGCCCTTCCAGCAACTCTGCCATCTAAGGGTGACACAGGTGATAATATTCATTCAGCCCCACCTACCCCTCAGGGTGTCTGTTGTGGGGAGGGGAAGCGAAAAGGTATTGTAAGCCGCTCTGAGACTCCTTCGGGTAGTGAAGGGCGGGGAATAAATCCAAGGTAATTTTTATAACTTTTTATAAAACTTTTTGGCTGTACTGAACCAAGATGGGTGGAGTTATATTGCCTTGAAGTATAATCCACAGTGGTGTCACAAATGCAAAATAAAATGCACACATACACACACACACACACACACAATGTTTTGACACGTTCAGGGTCCTTACAAAAGTGAAAAAAATGCCCCAAACAGAAATCTACATGCTGCTATTGCACCAATTTCAATCCAGAATGTTTTTTATATAGAAAGGACAAATCTTCCAAAGTGACCTGAACAGAAGCCAGAACACAGCTCTAGAATCCCCGTGCTCAGAAGAAAACATGCCTGGGCTAAAAGTCCTAGAAGACGTGAAGCAGTAAGAATGCGCAAGTAACTTCTGGAACGCGATGCCACCAGATGGGATGATGGCCAGCAGTTTAAAAACTGATTAGACCTATTAATGGAGGAGCAGTCTGTCAGCGGATGGTTAGCTGCGGTAGCTCTGCAGAACCTCCATGGTCAGAGGCAGCTTAACTTCAAACACCAAATGTGGAGGGGCAGATAACAGGAGACAATCAGCCGTGTCTTGAATGGGAGTTCCCAGACATTGGACTAGTTAGCCTCCAACTGATCCTGCCCTGTTCTTACTGAAGAGCAGCATGCCTCTGAGCATGTACAAAATGCATTTTGAAATCCCTGAAAAGAACCACATGACACCCCACCCTGGGACTGGGATGTGGGGCTTTTCACATCAGCAGGGTTATGAGAAATTAACAGCTGGAGCCACGCTAACCTTTCTGGGCACCCGCCCAGCTCCCCACCTTCTTCCCACCCTGGGTCTGGATGCCCCCCCCAGAGGCGAAATGTGCCACACCCAATCCTGCCAGCCCCTCTGATTCCTCCTCTCCAGGCCCCAAGACGGCTCACCTGTCAGGTGCACCTGTCTCTCTCCGTCCCGCTGGACAAGGTGACCCAGGATGAGGGCTATGAAGCATCCTGGCGTCTTGTGCATATATACGAGGCACCAAGGTCACCGCCCAGCCTGGCTGCTGGGGCGGGTGGAATTACCAAGAAAGGAAGGGTAGGTTACCAGAGAGGAGGGGAAAGGGAGAAGAAGACACGGGCAGGCGAGAAAGAGGAGGAGGGAAGCAAGCCGAGAGAGGGCCCCGGTCTCTGAGAAATCCACACGGGGCTGATGCCTTCTGTGCCAGTCCCTGCAGGGAAGAGAGTCGTTGAACAAGAGACGTGAGCAAACAGTTTCACAATTAGGAAATGACTCTCAGCCTCCGAACATGAGAAAGATCACGTTCAGGTTTCTCCGAGGCACTCCTGGCTGTTAGACATCTTAGGCTTCGGTGAGGACCTTTAGATGCCACTGCTTCAGAGCGGTGAGCTTCAGGGTCCCGTCTTCTGACCCACGGATGCTTCTGTCAGAGCAGGCAAGCGGTTCTGGGCTTCCGGTTGGCTGCTCTTTTTGGCTTCAGTATCAGAACCCCACTCTTAATAAGGGCTCAATCACACGTTATGTATAAATAACAAACGATAAAACACAAGGGCGGAGAAATCTGACCTGACGCGTTTCAGCCTATATAGGCCTTCCTCAGAGGTCAATAGTGAGGAACATAAGGGCTATTATATAAATATATAAATAAATATTTCCTTCACTAAGATTTTAATACTGGCCCCCTTTCTTGCATTTAGGAGCTGCGGTGGGTCAAGTGGTTAAGTCGCTGAACTGCAGGCTGTGGAAGGTCAGTAGTTCAGCAGTTCGAGACCCGGGTGCCGCATGACGGAGTGAGCTCCCATCTCTAGTTCCAGCTCCTGCCAACCTAGCAGTTCGAAAGCAAGAAATTGCAAGTAGATAAGTAGGTACCACTTCGGTGGGAAGGTAACAACGTTCCGTGCGCCTTGGTGTTTAGTCATGCTGGCCACATGACCATGGAAATGTCTTCGGACAGCGCTGGCTCTTCGGCTTTGAAACGGAGATGAGCACCGCAACCCTAGAGTCGGATTCGACTGGCTTTCGAGCAAGGTAACCTTTACCTTTACTTTCTTGCATTTGACTAACCTTTGTCAGGTTCTGGATTCTAAGTTTTAGGTTCAGGTTCCCCCCCCCCCCTTTGTCCCTGTTGGTCTTTCCTAGTGCCCATTAACAGGTTTCTGTGCCCATTTTGTTTCCCTCCACCCAAGCTCTCCCACACAAAACTAGGGCTGCCATCTTTCCCCTTTGGGTTGCCAGATCCAGGTTGGGAAATACCTGGAGATTCTGGGGTTGGGACCTGAAGAGGGCCGGGTTTGGGAAGGGGAGGGACTTCAAGGGGTATAATGTCATAGGGGCCACCGTCTCTGTCACTTGGAAATCAGTTGTAAGCCCAGGATATCTCCAACCACCACCTGACGGTTAGCAATCCTACTCTCTCTGCTTCTAATAGCTGCTAGACAGGCAGAAATTCAGCAGATGAAGCTAGGGAGGGACTTCAAGGGGTATAATGTCATAGGGGCCACCGTCTCTGTCACTTGGAAATCAGTTGTAAGCCCAGGATATCTCCAACCACCACCTGACGGTTAGCAATCCTACTCTCTCTGCTTCTAATAGCTGCTAGACAGGCAGAAATTCAGCAGATGAAGCTGGCTCCCCCTCTCCTCTTTTCCCAGCAGCAAGGAAACTCCTGACCAGTGTTCCCTCTAAGCTGAGTTAGTGTGAGCTAGCTCACAATTTGTTAGCCTCTGGCTCACACATTTTTGTCTTAGCTCAGGAAGGACAGCCCCAGAGCAAACTAATTTATGCAGTAGCCAAATTGCTCGCTCACAACTTTAATGCCAGTAGCTCACAAAGTAGAATTTTCGCTTACAAGACTCCACAGCTTAGAGGGAACATTGCTCCTGACTTGGGTGTCAGGCCTGCATCCCCCCCTCCACCTCGTGTTGCAGTCTAAGGCAGGGGTGTCGAACTCATTTGTTATGAGGGCTGGATCTGATATAAATGAGACCTTGTTGGGCTGGGCCATGTGTGTCATAAAATGTAATGCCAGGTAGCAGAGATATAAACTTTATAAAAGGACACAAACACAAAACTTTTTTTTTACTTAAAATAAAAGCATGCTTAAAACATTAGCACTCTTGCAATATTTTGTTTATTTAATAGTGTCTGATAACTGACACCTCTTGCTCTGAATTATTGCATCAAAATGTCTGTGCTGTT